GAGAAGTAAAATATCGAGAACATATTAGACTTGGGATATGAGAGGAAAATTTATGTTTAAAGTGCAGAGTTTTAGTGTCTTGAAAACAGCCAATAGGGTACAAGTTAGTTCTATTTTCCGGCAATGCAATGTCCCTCCTTGGATATTAGTCAATGTCAAATATTTCAGTTTAGAACGAATCCCTTTTAATCTGTCTATGTATTTTAATATTAGGGGGTATTTGACCTTTTCTGATATCTGAAAATTTCGTTTAAATACATGCATTTCTAGCAAGTTGACTGAAGCGATGAACAATACAAACATGAAAAAAAAGAAGGCCAAAGGGAAATTGCTGTTTCAGGGCATTCTGATTACTCTTATAAAGTCTTAGGGTAAGTTTGCTCTAAGATACGATACTCTAGATCTGTGCATGTCCAACTTTAATATACATAGAAATCTCTTGGGGACAGTGTTGAAGAACAGATGCTAATTTGAAAGTTCTGTGGTAGGACCTGAGAGTTTATAGGATCCAAGCGGTGATGTGGAGGGGAGGGCCCCAAGGCATCCAGCCACACACACTATATCCTTAAGAACAGTGGTGGACTCATGGGTGCAGCATACCGGGTCCCACACCTGCCTCCTGCAGTTCAGGAGGGTCTGCACGTGCTCATGGTGCATGTCCATCCTGACTGCACCTCTGAACCTGGCTCTGGTGGGCTGTGGATCTGGATGCTTTGAAGAAATATGCAGGTCAGGTCAGTGTGAGGTGGTCAGAGGTACAGAAGAAGAGTGTCCTTGAAGAAGTGGCTCTTCCCAGAGTGTCCCTAAAAGAAGAGTTTTTTCTTATTTGTTCAACAAGTGTTTATTGGCAGCCTGCTGGGTGCTGGGGTGAGTCTTTGCCCCCTGGGAGCCTCTGGTTGAGAGTGTCACATAGACATGAGCTGACACCTTATTTGTTCAACAAGTGTTTATTGGCAGCCTGCTGGGTGCTGGGGGTGAGTCTTTGCCCCCTGGGAGCCTCTGGTTGAGAGTGTCACATAGACATGAGCTGACAAGTGCAGGTGGGGAGTCCTGTCTCGGAATACAAAGCAGGCCCTGATGAGGCTTGGAGTCACAGTGGGCTTCACACTGTCATGGAAGGAATTGGCCAGGTGCAGGTGTGTGGAGGACCACAGATACAGGTGCAGGGGGGGACCACAGGTGTGGGGGTATTGCAGGTGCAGGGGGACCATGGTGTGGGAAAACCATAGGTGCAAGTACGGGGGGCCTGGATCTGTGGGAGGTCTCCAGGGTGGCTTGAACACAGCAGGGGAGTGGTTGACAAGGTGGAGGGTGGGTGAGTGAATGGTTCAGAGCCCCATGAGCCGTGGTGAGGCTGAATGACACCTGAGGGTTCTGGGAAGCCCTGAAGCACGTCAGGAAGGGGTGAGAGAGAAAGGCCACTGACCAGAGTCTGGGAGACGTGGGAAGGTGTTTCTCATAGAGAAGGAGGTGGGTGGAAGGCGTTGAGCACAGAGACATGTAGGTGAGGTGGAGTCAGGCTGCTGCTCTAGTTGCCAGGTTTTACGACTGCGCGTCTCTTTTCGCTGATGAAAGTGTGCTGCTGTTATTAGTCTAATGCAGGTAGCAAGCTCCGAAAGAAGAAAAAGAAACAGAAAAATAAGAAAACCAGTACAGGAGAAACCTCGGTATGTGCCAGGTCTGGCTGTGGCTCATTCCTCTGCCTGATCTCTTTTCCTTTCTTCTCTGTGTGTCTCCCGGGGGCGCTGGAAGAAGTTCATTTTTACTTGATGTTTTGATTACTTCCCTTTAGACTCCTGAAGGAGTCTAAACCAATTAAGAGGTCAGGGAAAAGAAAAGGAAAAATCAGTCTCTTGTTTCTGGGGGTTAGAGACCCGCTCTGTGCTGGACTTTCCAGATCCATCAGAGGTTGAGTTCCTCTGATGGGGGCATCCCTTCCAGTCCTGCCACCCTGTGGCCCCTTGTGATGCTTGCTCTGCCCCGACCTTTGTCTAGTGCTAGGACTCCTGGGGGGCAGCCCCCCACAGAAGCTAGTCTGTCATCAGAAAGCACATTTCCTTCCTTGCCCTAGTCTTTGTTATCTGATTCTGTTTGTCCTGAAAAGAGGCTGCAGTTTTGTTGCTGTTTAGCTGGAGTCACAGGTCACTTTACCTGAGGAGGTAAGCTCACCTGTAAGACATGGAATGTGGTCTTTTGATCTGATTATTTCTAGGGTCCTTCGGTTTCTGTAATTCTGTCTATTCTGAGTTTCTTCATAGGAAACATCTCTTCTTTTTACTAAATGTGTACATGGTACATAGTGTTTGAATTATACTGTGTTTCAGGAAGTAAATACAATTCAATAGTTCTTTTTAAAAATAAATCATGTTACTGATTGTTATAACATTTAAAATAATGTCAGCGTGGTGATTAATAGGTTGTTTTGTGGCTCATAGGAAAATGGACTGGAAGATATCGATCTCATCTTAGAGCGGATTGAGGACAGCAGTGGGTTATACCGCCCAGGCCCAGCTCCCCTGAGCTCCAGGAAGCGCATCTTGTATGTGGAGCACAGGTACTACTTGACCCCATCTGGCTGCAACCATGGAAGGAAAAACATTTTTTTTTTTTAAAAAGAAGGATATTTACTATCTTTATTTTAAAACAATGTGAGTTTATTATAAAACATTTAGGATATAGGAACCAGCAGAAGGAAGAAAAAGAAAATTCATCCATATTTCAGAGGACTGTAAGCTTTATTTTATATATTCTAAAACATTCTCTCTTGGACTTTGTAAAAGTACCATGTGATCCTTGGGTAATTATCCATCTCCTGGTCTTGTAGATGCTTAGTGAAACCCTGTCCCTTCTACAGAGATCGTTGCCAGCTTAAAAAAGCTAATCTACCTGAAGTCGGCTAAGACATACTGGTCTAGTCTCAAGGTGTTTATGCTGCCCTAACACCTGCACATAAATAAATAGCCACACGCAGGTAGTGACTCTGAAGCGCACACACCCAACGTAGTGACCAGCCATGTCCCCTTGGCACCCTGCAGTGGCAGCAGTGGCCAGGCCTCAACCACAGGTGGGGTGGTGGTTTTAAGGAAAGTAGGCCTGGGGCCGAGCCCGTGGCGCACTTGAGAGAGTGCGGCACTGAGAGCGCAGCAGTGCTCCTGCCGCGGGTTCAGATCCTATATAGGGATGACCGGTGTGCTCACTGGCTGAGCGCG